AGGAAGGAAGGAAGGAAGGAAGGAAGGAAGGAAGGAAGGAAGATGGAAGGAAGAAAGAAAAGGAGGAAGGAAAGAAGGAAAGAAAGAAAAACAATATGCTTCAGTCTGTATTTAGACAAAATCGGTTCTTTGGAGCCAGATAGCATTTTTCATCATGAGGCCTTTGAGATTGTCTTGAATCATTGTATTACTGAGAATAACTAAGTCATTCACAATTCTTCATCATATAATACTGCTGTTACTGTGTATAATATTCTCCTGGTTCTGCTCACTTCACTTTGTATCAGTTCATGTAAGTCATTCCAGGTTTTTCTGAACGCATCCTGTTTAAAGGGTGAATCATTTTACCTCACTTTGCACATCTTTAAAATGTGAGGGTTGAGCTAGATTCTGTTCAACAAATAAAATCAATAAACCCTAATAAATATTAAGCATCAACTTGGTCCAAGACCTTGTGTCAAATGCAAGGCATACAAAGATGAAATAAGATTCAGTACCTCTCTTCAAGGAATTTATAGTTTACTAAGGAAGAGAGTACAAATAGATTAGTAATATAAACTTGAAGCAAATGTAAAATTTGAGTTTGAGACAATAAACCTATCCCCTTCTTTTAATCATTCATTCAACAAACATCTCATGGTTGAGGAAATTAAAACCCACAGTGATGTGATTTGCCAAAAGTCACACAAAGGGTCAGTGGAGAGATGAGACCAGGACACACATCTCCTGACTTCTGAACCTAGGCTCTTTGACTAGGCAATTTCCTCATGCAGCTCTAACAAAGAAAACATTCCAGAATATGGATTCCCTCTCTCCTGAACTGCTCTAATGGTCTGTGCCCTGGCACATTCTCAAAATATTAGTGTACACCACCACCCACTTTCAGCAGGTACCACCAGCACAATGCTAAGGTGACCAGTTCTTCCTCCAAGTCATTAAGGCCCAGGCTAAGTCTGTCAAAGAGGAGTTCTGTTATCAAAGGGTTTTTTTTAAAATGGTAATATCAATGTACTTTTTGTATCTGTTGTGACAAAATAAGATATGAATGTGATATAACACTACTGTGCTGTGAGAAACGATGAAGGGGACAGATTTAAAGAAACATGGAAAGATTTGTATGAACTGATGAAAAGTGAAGTGAATGGAACTAGGGGAACAATTTATACAATAACAATAACACTGTAAAGATGAAAAATTCTGGAAGACTTAGAAACTCTGATCAATGCAATGACCAACTATAATTTCAGAGAACTCATGATGAAACATGCTACCCACCTTCAAATAAAGAGGTAGTAGACTCAGATTGAGGTATATTTTTAAAAAATTATTGAGAAGTAGGAGGAAAGGGATAGGAGAAGAAGAGGGAGAGAATGCAGACTTGAAAATAAAGTAAAATTGAATTTTAAAAAAATTTAAAAATTCAACAAAAGATGGAAAGTTTTTGTTTTATTTCTAGTATTTTAAGACTTGTAAATAAAGCTAGCTAAAGGGAATCCCAGAGCTGGAGAGAAACAGAAAGTTGCTTATTTTTTCAAATATTAGAACTAAAAAGGAGTGTCAGAGCCCATCAGAAAACTCCTTGAGGGCGAGGACTGTTTTTTTATTGTCATTATATCTCCGGGATCTATGTAATGCCTAGCACATAGTAGGCATTCACTAAATTTGTTGATTTACTAGTTGACTTCAAGCTCAGCCAGTTCCAATTAATCTTGCCATGGAGGAGGTGAGAGGGGCAGATTAGGAATGGAAGATCATTAAGATAACATGGAAGTAGGGAAATTTTAAAGCAAAATGAAGGAAAATAAGGCCATTTTCATACTGGAAAATTCACCACATATTAAATAATTTTGACACACAGAAATATTGCTAACATTGAAAATTTCTCAGATTGCCATCACACTAGGGTTTTGTGTCTAGTTTATACTCTTTATTATACAAATGAAAAGAAAAAAAAGAAGTCAACATTGATGAAGTGATTTGCCCAAGGTCACACAGCTAGGCAATGGTAGTACTGGTATCCAATTCTGGGCAATTCTCTTTCCATGATATTTGCCTACTTCATGATATAAACACAGTTGTTTTCATTGAATTTTAATAGTTTTCCACAACAAAAAGTCATCATGACAGTATATAGAGGATAAGAGTGTTGTACTTCAAATCAGGAAGACCTAGGTTTCAATGTGCCCATGACACTTATCAGCTATCACTGTTTCATTGTGGATGAGATTTACACAAGCACATGACCTTCCTCCCCCTAGGCAAATTATAATCTTTCTGTAACTTAGGAGGACATCTGAGAGATGCCTGAGGTTCAGAGAGATTACCTCATTTCTTCATTTGTATAAATGAAGGATATATATATATTTCTCTCATCCACAACTTAGGAATATGGAGAAGGTTCAGAGCAGTACCATAAGGATGATTAAAGGTTGTGAAATAAGATCTAAAGAATAAGATGAAAGGAAAAGACATTATTTAGTTAAAAGAAGAGAAGGCTGGGGAGTGATTCAAACATATGAAGAATCACTATGGTGATGAAAATTAATCTCTTTTCAACTCCATTGTCACATAAAATCGATTAATGTTTATTGGTAGCAATTTCACCCAAAGCCTTAGAGTTAGAAAAGGAGGAAACAAATTTGAACTCCAACCTGAAAGACCTAGGATAGATATAAGGAAAAAATTCCTTTATAGGAGGCTTTTAGGGAAGGAATATGTTATAAAGAAGGTTGGATATCTCTGGATATTTTTTAAAAGAGGAAAGCCTTATCTGACTAGGATAGATTAAAGAAATATTTACTAAAGGCAGAAGAATAGATTAAATGACATTTTCTTCATCCCCAAACCAAAGGACAGATGTCACTGGCATGATTTCCAAGGAAGCTTTGGAATTCTTGTTTCCTACTGTAATTTCTAAAGGAAACACCAATGCCATACAAATAGTACCAACTTTCTTCCCATTCCTACTAGAACCACTCTGCTTCAGGCCCTTATTACCTCTATCTTGGAGTAATAAAATAGTTTTCTAATCGGTCGTTTTTCCCTTCAGCTAAAAATCCTCTCTAAAATTCATTTTGTACACATTTCCAGAAAAATCTTCTGAAGTCATTCCTTTGATCATGTCTTTCCTCTGCTGAAAAACCTTTAGTGATTTCTGCTACTTACAGAATAAAGTCCAGTTTCCCTAACCTAGCATTCAAAGTTCTCTTGAATCTAAATCAAACCATTTTTACAGCCTTAACTCACAATATACATTAATAAATATCTGATGGATAGATGGCTGGCTGGCTGGCTGGATGGATGGATGAATTAATAAAAGAAACCTATGCTCTGGCCAAACTGGACTGCAACTATAGATCTAATTAAATTATAAGTGCTGTGATTATTTTGTAGTATCTAGTTTGTGGTTTCTATGAGACATATTTAAATACCAAAGAGAGAAATTTATATTTGATCCCAGAGACAACAGTAAGCCACTGGCATTTGCTGATCATTTGTTGGGGGGGGGGGGTTGGGGTTGGGGTTGGGGGAGGTTTCATATCTCAAGGTAAAAAGCTATAAGCAGGGGTAGCTAGGCGGTGCAGTGGATAAAGGAT